AAAATCGGAAAAGGTATAATAAAAAAAAAAAAAAAAAAAAAGCTCTGTGCTGGAGGTCAAGAAGTTAGGGGAAAATTGAGAGTAACCAAAAGTTAAGCAGGTTAAATTTTGGGTGTTTTTTTTTATTTTGGTTGGTTGGTTTTTTTGGTTGTTTTTGTATTCTTTTTGTTGTGGGCGGGGAGGGCAGGGGTGTTTGCAAACAGTGAAAGATTCTTCAGACATTCCAGGATTCTGAAAGAACTGGACATAAAGTTCTGTCAGGGGAAGTTACTATTGAAGTATGAAACACAGGTGTGATACAGTCACAAAGAAAACACTGGCAGTAGCCAGTTCCCTGTTTCCCATGGAAGGTGAAAATAATAGCACCAGTTTCTAAATCCTTCATGAGATCTTAGTATATTCGATGCTTCTGGTCACTTGTTTTCAAGAACAATGAAGCAGATGAGGATTGCTAGGAAGATCACAGAAATAAAGGCAAGTGTCTTCAAGAGATTGCACTGTACAGTTGTAGTGGGTTGACCCTGGCTGGCACCTAAGCTGCTACCCAGTCACTTGCTCAGTCCCCCCTCCAGCCAGACAGGAGAGAGAACGGGAAGTGGCAAAGTAAGAAAAAATCAGGGGTTGAGATAAAGACAGATTAATAAGTAAAGAAAAAAAGGGAAAAAAACCCCAAACAATTAAAGCAAAAGCAATCACTCACCAACTCCCACCAGCAGACTGATGCTCAGCCACTCTCCAAGCAATGGTTACTTTTGAAAAACTCCCCCCTCCTTTTACCGCTGAGTATGGTGTTAAATGGTATGAGGTATCTCTCTGCTCAGTTTGGGTCAGCTGTCCTGGCTATGTTGCCTCTGAAGCTCTTGTGCACCCCCAGCCCAATTGCTGGGGGTGGTAGGGGAGAGCAGAGTGAGAAAAAGAGAAGCCTTGCAAGCACTGTTCAGCAATAGCTAAAATATCGGTGAGTTATCATCAACACTGTTTTGGTCACAAATCCAAAACATAGCACCATACCTGTTACTGTGAAGACAATCGTTTAGCAAAATAGAGGCTGAGAAAAAACTGCTGTCTACTTACTTACCAAAGAGGGGCCCCAATGACAGAAAGAGCTATTTTAGATTGAATAACAGTATCAAAAGTATATGCACACATAAACAAGAGGTGGTCAAGGACATGTTGATTCAGGATCTAAATTCTTTAAGACCGAAAATACAGTTCAAAATAAGCAATAAAAAATAGTGGACTTTTGTAGATAACTCCAACTTGCACAGGAATTAAACATTTTTAGTTACAAATATAATATCTTAAGGATATACTGAGAAATTTATAAGGAAATCTTAATAAAGAAATTTAGATATATGGTATATAGGCAAAGGCATGTAATTTTAGCTTTCAGTACTTTGCTTCACATGTAACTTAAATATTGTAAAGAGCTATGAATATTTTCTTCTGACTAACTCAGATAATAGTTTCCATGACAGCCAGAACAGCAAAATCAGCAACTGCTTCTGCTTGTTAAAGAAAAGTTATGTCATTTGTTTATGCATTTAAAGAGAAAACAGTATGACCGTGGCTTATATTTAACTCAGTGGTAACTGCTCTTAAAATGTTTCATTTTAACTTAATTATAAAAAAACAGCATTCCTTTTCCAAACAGATTATTGCATATATAAGAATTCTCAGTTGCCTTTTGGAATAACATATATTCACTTATAAAGGCTTTAATCCTTAACCTAGAGTTGCAGGTTATCGGGACACAAGCTACAGATAAAAATATTTATGTATTTAAATATGAGCTGCTCCCTTGTCCAAAGTTCAAGCTTCCATAAAGCAAGGGTAAGTATCAGAAACACAATAAAGACAGAAATGAATTGGTTAATGATCAAACAGAGTAAGAAATGAAAAACTGACACAGTCAAAGAAAATTTTTACATTACAACAATGTGTCAAGGCAGGAGAAAAATTTGTCAAAGCATGTAAGTGAGCTAACATTCCTTATGTTGTTGAATAATAGTTTGTATGAAATAATTAAGAAATTCAAGTAGAAAATGGTGTTGAATTGTTGAAAGGAGTGTGTCAGGTTATCTACTGGACGTTAAGAACCTCTTTCTCTAGAAACAAATGGAATACCCTTTAGACTATGCCTGTAGTATATTTTTTTATATATTTTACAATCAGTACAAGTTCTTTATTACTTCTAAAAACTAAGCTTTTATTTTAAATTAGCAATGATTATTTCATGACAATAAAATATATATACCTACCACATTTAAGAAAACTAAAGATCAAGACTACATTAATCATTTAAGAACAGAGTGTTCCATTGTCATCACAGTGAACAATTATTTTAAAAAGGAAACAAATGACAAACTAATGATAACCCTGGCCCATTATTAATTAGGTACTATAATGTATTATTTTCCTCACCTTGAACACTTTGTTCTACAGCATAAATTTGACAATGCATTTGGACTGGAACTCCCTCTCTAATCAGCTTTTTAAGGCCCCATAATACACAAAGCTGGTAAGTTCTATGGACCTAATGTAAGTCTTTCATATTTTCACTTGTAATCACTTCATCTCATTTAATAAAAACTGGCTTGGAAAATGATTAAAGTATTTACTTATTGTAAAATGTTTCTAATAAATTTAAAATTATTTTGTTAAAACATATTTTCAAAAATTTAAACATGGGATTAAAACATGATCTCTTCAGCTGCAGCCAACAAATCAGATTTTAAATTTCTTTAAATGTACTTTGAGTTATCCCATAAGGCTACTTTTGAACTTCAATTAATTATTTTTTTTTTTTTTTAAAAAAAGCCAAAACCCAAAATAGGGCACTTTTTAAGGATTGGTAAATCAAATCTAAACAGTTAGTTTGTAGATTTAAAACAAACCAAACCAACCCAACCAAAAGTAACTAAAACATGACAAATTTCAGAACAAACAATATTAACTGTTGAAAGGTTACAGCCTTTCTGTCATGCTGTAACAAAATGACTTAGCTTTTCTTGACCATAGCCAAACAGTTAATATTTCTTTGCCATTACATTCTTGTATGTATATTTATATATACTTAATATTTTGGTTTTAATACTCACATATTTGCAATTCCCGTTGGTTGTGGTAACAGTAACAGGTTGAGCCTTGGTTTTAGACATACTTTGGGTAACAATAACACAGCAGGCTCCATACTGAAATAATTCAGAAGATGGATAAGATATTACTTTCTCTAGTCTTACTGTAATTTAGATTATCTATTTATCATCCATTTATTTAACAGGTTTTGGAGTCACATAGGTGATAAAAAGGCCTGGCACTACTTTTCATTATTGAGTGTGGAAATTTATGTAGTGATTAGGTTATTACGCTATTTCAGCTGTATCTGTGGGTTTTGGAAACAAAATAACTGCAATGTATTTAAAATGGTTTCTATTTAAGAGAGTAACAAATATTTGTTACAAATACTTGTCAGAAGTGCCCTGTGACACATGTAAGCGTCACTCTTTGAGTGTGGCTTTGCCAGTAGATGATTTAATAAAGTGGCTTTTAGCAAGTTAGCTGCAAGCCTGACAATGTATGGATTGACCTCCATTTCGATATTTCTACCACTGCTCAGTGCTAGCTCTTGTTTTATGATGTGAATATTTTTAAATATTCGCTTGCAAGTTACTATGTAAATAAACCACTGCTAAAGAAACATCGCTTGACTCAGTTCATATACAAGTGTTGCATGTATGATAAGAAATAAAACCTTGGATCAAAAGCACAGTTGCAGATAATTAACCCAGCTCTGTCAAGGAACTGCATCAGCTTAAATCGAATGGCTTGTGACTTTGGAACAAAGGTTCCCAGGCTGTGCACAGTGAAATGTTTGCTGATGGTCAATGCACAGCCCACACCTCCTTTGTATTTCCAGTTGCCAGACTCCACTGACAGAATTCTTAAATTAATCACTTCCCAGTATTAGATGTGCATACACTATGTAATGAAGTATAAATATACACTATATCTAAATATTATATCTAAGATCTATACACATAATGAGCATTTGATATATTCAATGCAGAGTTTCGTATATATGCAACCATAATATTATAGGTAATGTTATAGTTGTAGGTAATTCATAGAATTTGGGTAGCCAGGGGAAAGATCTCCAGGATGGAAAACAAAACAAAAGTTCTTTAATATTGTCACTGCATTAACAGGCACAATCTGTGAATCTTGTGACAAGCTATCGTCTTGCTTGTGTCTTTCAGAAAACACACCAGAAAACTATTTGTCTGCAATACCAGCTGTATCTTCTTCTGAACAGCCATTTCTTTTGCCTGTTAAAGAATGAGATGGGACTAATCATCTTCTTCCTATGGTAACTGCAAAGTCAATGTTAATTAGACAGTAAATACAAATTATTTATTTATTTTTACTATTACAGCTGTTACTTGCCTCCAGTCGCTTTAGAGAGTGGATCCTCTCCTGACATGATGCACAGTCCCCCACTGCTTCATAGGCCACAGTCCCTTACTTTATTCTGTCTTTGACTGGGCTCACCCTGGTCAAGAATGCATGTTGGCCCTAATCCCTTTGAAATTTGCTATTGTTTTGTATACTTTAAAAGAATTGTAGGTATTTTACATTAAATAGTTGAAGTAGTGCATTACCTCCTATAAAACTGGCCTTTTTTAAAACCACATTGACTGTTTATACAGTGTGTGACTCTGAGATACAATTTTGATGCAGCTATATGATTTTATGATTTGTCAAATATACTCGCCCCACACATTTATCATATGTATATATACATATAAACAATGTATCTATGCTGTCTTAATAATCTCTGACTGTTTTTTCAGCATAAATGTTGTGGATACCTACTGTTTAGCCTAATGGTCACTGGTTTTCTTCTGTTGTAGTGCTTATGTAGTAAAGACAGCAGCAGGTCATTGCAAGTGGGCAGAAGTTCTGAAAGATTTGGAGCAGATCAAGACATCCAAAGTAAGTTCATAAAAAAAGGTAGCATTCCATATAATCATAGGAGCAGACATAATTGAATATTTAGCACTGTACTCAGCTAAGAAGTGTCAGTGGCAGGGAGCAGGAAAAGGGATGGTGTTTGTACGATGCTGTTTCAGGGGTGGAAGCAAAGGAATAGAAGGTTAAAGGGAATTGGATTTGACCAATTAAATATGTTTATAATATATAATATTATAGATTTATTATGGATAGTAGTTACATATATATATAATATCTATGTAATACATATAAAATTATATAAATATAATTAAATATTATTTTCTTTCTCACCTTTCCTAAGAAAAGGGGCAGTGAGCTTGGGAGTTAGCTCCTTTGGAGAAAGTAACGTGGGACTTGATTCTCATGAGTCCTCCTCACAGTGAAGCCCATCCTGCAGGTTACTAGGTGACTTCAAGATCCCCTGACTTGCTGGCTCCCAGTAGATGGATGGATTGGGCCTTTGAACTTTGAGCTAATCCATGTCTTGCAGAGTTAGCTTTATTATCTCTACAACTGTTAATGTTCATAATTCTAACTCTTGTTTCCTTTTTAGGACATTGATGTCAGTTTATATACTGCAAATACAGATGAGGATGTAAGTAAATTGAAAATTTGACCACAACTGGTCTAATATGGTAGCTTTATTTCTTTATTAGCAACTTTCTGGTCTAATTTGAGAAAAGTTTCAGAAATCAAATAAATTGCCTTGGAAGGAACAGTTCTGTTAGTTAACCTGCTATCAAAATTAATCAATTAAAAGGGAAAATCCAAAACAATCTCAAAGTAAACATTGCTAAAATAACATTGGTATTCATTTATAATTTGAGGGAGGGAAAAGCGACAAAGAAAATACTTCCAATTATTTAACACCATGCACTATTTAAGAGACTAAAATACTGGAGAAGCAGAATATGGAGAGTAACTGTCAGCATCTCCCAGTGCATTTCTCTGCTTTTGCCATTGTTTAGCTTAGCTGCAAATACCTAGGTACTCTCAAGGATTCAGATTTCTAACAGTTGCAAATTGTCATTTTTTCCTGCAAAGGCTAAATTATGTTAATTTTTCAATATAATTCTTAATAAAATAATGGAAACCTATGTAAAATATGATCATCTTAAATGCAGTTTCCAAAAATTCATTCCTGAAGAGACTTTTCCAAAATCTGTTGCTGCAGAGCTCAGTCTGCACTCCATGGGACACATGCATCCCACCAAGAAAATGAATCCAGACAATACCCCACTCCTAGCAGTCACCTTTGGCACAACCCTGGTAGAACTGGCTGGATTCATTGCTGTGTTAGTAGCCTGCTTCTGAGACATTGCTTTCCTGACAACATCAATATTCATGCAAGGACTGTGCCAAACACAGGCAACACATTAATCCTGTGCATAAAGAGTTAATGAAAGATTTTCTAGAAATGATGAACTGACTACCTCAGTGCAGAAAAGTCTCAGTGCACACGCAGAATACAGCAATGTTGATGTATTCAGTGGACCTGGCAAGCCCGAGAAAGCAGAGAGGCTAATGTGTCTGTACAGTCAGCCCTGTACATGACAGGAAAAAAGGTCACAAACCATGCACATCCACATCTCTGAACTGAACTGGGCTAGAGAGGTTAATCCGCTGTAATGGCTGATTTAATACCTGGTAGTGTTAGGAAGACTTTCTTAATGTGGGACAGTCTGATATGAAAATCAGACAACCCAGGGCTTATTCTTGGCTTTATTGTTGAGTTGATGGAGAAACAGTACCACTGTTTCTTTTTCTTTAATATGTGGGACACAGGTAATATTTACTTTCTCTTCTCCCCTATCGATTCTGAATTCAAATCTCTGAATGACAAAGTGCTAGAACTCCTAAGAATAGTTTTATTCCACTATGTTTAATTATATCCCAAATTTCCATCCTAATTAATTATTTTTCTATGTTCTTCACCAAGACACTATGTTTGACCTCATCTTAGCAAATTGGCTGGCTTTTATCTTGATAGCTCTCACAGCCAATCTTTGCAGATATTTAAAAGTATTTGAATAGCAAGAAAAGATATCCAGTAAATAAAAATCAGCCACTTCATTGTAAATTATATTTCACTTACTCCTTTTTAATCATAACACTATTACAATTTCTTTTTTTTTTTTCAGAAAGAATGCCAAGAACCTGTAATGAGATGCTTTTTCTTAGAGACAAAAGTGATTCTTCAAGAATGTCTTATAAAAAAATGTAGTAAAACACAGGATGTATTGAACATATGGAAAAATGGAAATGCAAGCTTAGAAAATAAGGTAAGTAACACAAACAGTCTGTAGAAAAAAGGCAAATCAAAAGTATTTCTTCAGTAGCAGAAATACCTCTTTTGTCCTACAAAAGGGGGGATGGTACAGATGAAAGCAAATGGGATCCAGTAACCTATACATATAACAATGAAAAAGCTACACTTAAAACAAAAAAGCAGAATTTAGTATTTTTTAGAAAAACACTTCCAAGATTCCCATCAAAGCAAATACTTTTGACTGTGCGTGCATACATATGTCAGGGTGTTTGAACGTATATGTATAAATAACAGTTTGTAACTTCAGTATCTAAAGTCAGGTATGCTCAGACACATACAGAAAAGTATCCTCATTTTCAAAGGGACAGCCACCTGCATCTCTCACTGAACTGCTGTACCTTTGAAAACTGATCCCACTCAGAAAGCAAGCCAGGAGCTGCATAGACCATAAGGACCCTGGAAGCCTCCAGCAATGCTTTCTGTAGCCACTGACTACATTGGGGTTAATCACAAAAAACAAGACAAACAAGGGTTAGTTTTTTATCAGAACAAGTAAATCACTATCCTGCTTTACTATTGCATTTTGTTTTTCAGTTGAATTCTACAAAATCAGCAAAATGCAAAGAATGTGAAGAGTATGAAGAAAAAAATTTTACAGAATTTATACAGAGTTTTGTAAAGGTTATACAGAGGGAATGCAAGCACTGACCAAGAGACAGAAGCTGGGAACCAAGATTCTTCGATGAATATCCTCAGAGAAATGAGATTATCACCAATGATAAACTGGAAAGAACATCACTTACAATCCTACTTACATAGCATAACATGTAAACAAAAGAATAATAAAATCTCTGTAATTCACAATGTATTCATAACTGAATACATACAATGATATTACTTACGAAATACAAATGAAAGGAATTTAACAGGGCTTGAAGCTTATTCTTGACTTAAAGTGTCTTTATTTTTTGGTAAGTCCAATGGAAAAAAAATCCTGCCTAACTTACCAACCTTTTATCCAAATTCTCCAAGATCTCAGGATATCTGCAGTGGGAACCTCCTCATGAACATCAGTTCAGTGCTAACTGAATGGTGTTTCAGAGGAAAGCTCTTCTATTATTATTAACATAAAATTATAATATACTGTTTAAGCATTTGGCTATATCTAATGTTGTTAATTGAAATATATCCCTTTACCATCTGTGTTCCTAGAAGAACCTAGCTCATCTCTCACTTCTATTGTTAGTCATGTCTGACAGTTTTCCTTGCTATTTTTTTCTCACTGACTTTCCTTCAATGAACTAGTTTCAAAACACAAGCTGAGGCCTATTTGTCTTAAACGTCTATTGTCTATCTCTTAATGTATTTATTTCTACTATGTTTTTCAGGTAAACCAAATTACTTGTTTTACCTAAGAATTCAAAGTAAAAAATTAGAATACTTGTATAAAATTCCTCCTTGCCTTTTCCCCCTTTTGTACAATGGTAGCATAAGAGCATTAAAAAAGTTCTTCAGTCTTCTCAACAGAAGGTAATGCCGGTGCATGGTTCCAACGTACAACAACAGAACATGCTTTGTTACTTCATTTGTTACCTTTGACACAGACACTACCTTAGTCATTAGGGTAAGTACTATAGTTCCTTGAGAAATTACCAAAGATTGCAATCTAAATTTCAGCCACAGAAAAGTAAGGTAAATTTAATTCTCTAAATAAAAGAGGTGATCAAATCCCTTACACACTTAAAAAAATTATAATTCTATGTGGTAGAAATCTTTCCTATGTAGAAGAATCTGTAACTTTGGCCTCCTTTTGGGGTAAGAACTCTGGAGGTAGGAATCACTTTTGACCAGTTATTGGAAATCATAGTAACCATATTTCTCAGACTCAGTGCAGTCACCTGTCCCCTGGCAGTTCTGAAGTGTTGCAAAGTTTTCTTTCAGCTCTTTCTAAAGTAACTGCTTTCTTCATGATTCATAACCATGTCACACCAACTGCTATCCATAATAAATAATTCTTTCCTCCAGGCACCTCCACTTCTCCCTCTTATTTTGATAAATGTCTGACTCATTCAGCTGTCCACTTACCAGGAAGGAAGTCTCAATCTCATTATGGCAACAAATACACTGCCTGATGCTCCCTTATTTTTGGGTTACTCCCAGCAGTCAATCTTCAGCACTCTGAGAAGCTCAATCTCCAGTAAACTACAAGAGAAAGAACATAAATGTGAGCATGGTGGATGTCATCTTCCAGGTGACTTACAGACTAACTGATTGGGAAATTCATAAACACACTGATATCAGGATTAAACACTGCAAAGTTACGAGAGAAGAAATATTTTTTTGCCACTGCAAAACGTCAGTGAAAGAAGTGTTGATTACATAGTTTGGATGGAGTAAACTGGTGCTACATTTTAAATTTATTCTTAAAACAGTGAGATGCATTGAATATGATTTTCTCTTACCTGATTTCACATGCATAGGCAAGGTAATACCAACTTACAACTGTGATCTTTAATCAAAGAGATAAAGGGATTTTCCTTATTTCTTGCTTTGAGGGAGTTTGAGACAGTCCAGCAGTATTCATAGCGGGAGAAGTAAATAACTCCTTTGCTCAGATAGTTTTCTTTATCTTGGCTGTTGTGAAAATCAGTTACCTGATTAATTTTATTACCTTTTTCATTAAATAATTTACCAGTGGCAAGTATGTTAAATACCATGACTTTGTCATGGTGAAAGAATATTACTAAGTCTGTGACCACTCAGCTTGATACCCTGTTAGCCACCTTCTGTTGGACATTGGCTGTCTCTCCAACATTTTGTTTCACCTCCACCTGTTCCAGATCCATATTCTAGAACTAAAAAAGGCCATTTGCTAATCTAGTTCTCCAGTATTTCTCCTGGGGTTTTCCTTTTCCTGAGAGCTAAGCTGCCAATTGAAAGCTTTACTAAATCCTGAATCCTATGCTTATAAGAAATGTTCTGATTAGTGTAAAGGATGGGGTAAATTAACTTCAGGTTGGTTTTTGGTTGTTTTTGTTTTTTAGTGAGGGAATTCATACATATCCCACAGGAAAAGATTCAATATGACTAAGACATCTATGAATCTGATCTGACTTGTTAATACTGCAAGCAGAACAGTAAAAACCAATTCAGGGTTCCTACTTTTGAAGTAAACATCCCTAGGTTGAGGAAAGTATTTCTTCTACACAAGGTCTAGTAATTTGTGTGGCATTTACTATCTAATCTTTTCCAACTACTCTTGGTAAATGTTAAGAAAAAGATTAATAATGTATATTCTCCAATTAATCCAACTCAGTTTGGGACTAAGGTGACTCATAGCAGAGTGTTTCTGTTTAGGAAGAAAAATAACTCTGCCTTTTGACACCAGAAGAGAAGAATAATGCTCTTCCACAGAAATTTTGGATTATATAATTCTGTGTTCCTGACTTTTCAATAATTTAAAATCTATTTTTCCTTTCCTTTCCTGGTAGTCAGTATCCATATTTCCGTTTATATTTTAACAGGATAATGGAAGTAGCACTAGTGCAGATGATGTCTGACATCCTCTGCCTTCTCATTGTTTTATTAGACCCTGAAGATAAACATTGGTTGCTCATCAACAGAACATTGCCTCCAGTGGCTCTGAATATTTGAGCACCTGTTGGTCAGGTACTGGGCAGATAATTTCCCAGGAGATTTTGAAAATCCTCACAGTGCAAAGTCAGTTCTGGATCAGTATCAGTATATTTATACGAAGACTATTAGCTATTATACCTCCCTCTTAAAACTCTTAAGAGAATTTAACCAATAATTTTAAGCAGTCTGTCTATCCTGTATGAGCAATAGATTTCAGTTTCTACAATGTCCAACTGCCTTTTGTAATTACTGGGCACAGTGTGAATTATAAATTTCATTTCCCTAGTAGATATTTGGACCTTAAAAGTAGCATCTGTCAGTTTCCCCACAATTTTTTAAGTCAGTTTGATTTCTGACTAAGGCTATACAGTGATTTAGTTAAGCTAGCAATACGGCATTACCACTGTTGAGTACACTGAAGGAGTATTCTCCTCTGATACCCAAAGTAAGCTTTTACATCCTGAGTGGCCCTTCTTAGGCATTTCCTTATGTGGATGCATAAATCCGTAATAATTAATCACTGCCCAGGGGTAGTGGTCCCTTTGTCCCTTCTTTAAGCAAAAAGATCCTGTTTTAATGGGCAAGGTGCCTTCAGTGAGCAGCCAGCAGCCATGGGAACATTAAAAGCAAGCAAAGGTCAGGCTGATAGAGTACTGCAGGTCTACAGCTGATGGTCTGTTTTCCCCAGGCAGAAACAGGTGACTTAATTTGAGTGATGGTGTGAGTGGTTTCATCTTTTTCTCCATTCAAATCCCCTTTTAAGGAACTGATATAGGTGTTGACTGATGCTCGTTCATTTGGAAATGAGAACTTTGTGAAAGCTAGGATCTTTAATGGTAGTGGGAAAAGGAAAATTCTGAACTGCAGTTACCTCTCCTGTTGGGAGCTTCACTGTTGTGGGGAAAATATAAAAAATGGGGATTCTTTGCCTGCAGTTAAGTAGCTGGGGGCTCAGCAGCAATTTCAGATTCTTTATCTTCTTCATATGGTTATGTGAGGAGAATAATAGTTAGAAACATACTTCAGGATCCATTCCAGCTCTGTGTGGCAAAAGCTCAGAGAGACAATGAACATTTGAGCCAGTCAGCCCAAGGTACCTTGGCAGTACTTACAAAGGAGAGCAAACAGTGTATTTGCTATATATCTCAACAGGCATTCTCTATAGCTAAAGTAGTGTTTCAACTGCTTGAACCCTTCAACCAAGGGTCCTGATCCAAAGTTTAACAGAAGTCAAAGAGGGTAGCTACTGTAGAAGCCAGTACAGTGTACATTGACTTCATCTGAAAGCAACAGCCTGCTCTTTCTTTGTTTTTCCTGCTGCAGCATTCTGAACAGGTTCAATGGAGATTTCAACAGACATTTTTTTTTTGTTGTTGTTGTTTTTTTTTTCCTAAATTTAGTTCAGCACCTGAAAAATAGTTCTATTGTTACATGCCTTAACAGAAAATGTCACTGAGTTACCACTGCCTGCATGTTTTGCCAGTTATATTTTTGAGTACAAAAGAGCTGTTCCATTTTTCAGTACTTCTGCCGAGTAGGAACACTAGAAATGCAGGTGCAGCAGATCATAGGGATTGGAGTGGCTACTCTGGGGCAACAATATTAACATCGTATCACACCAGAGGATCACTGAATGTTTCCAGAAGTATAATCTATTTTGTAAAGCAAGGTACATAATTTATATGTAAAATTCTAGACAGCTCATTTGTCTAAACAGCTGCTTCACAGCTACTGTAGTTCTACTGTCCACTAAATCCAAACTAAGTACCTCATCATCCTTGTGAATCTCCTTCTCTGCCTGCCACCCTTTCCTAGTTTAATGTGGGTAACACCACAACAGGATGAAGCTATTAATATTTTGTTGCATTTCTCATAGGAAGAATATGGAACAAATATATAGGAACAATATTATAATGATGTAATCTAAGATTAAGCTAGCTGTAATTATCAAGAACTCCAACATCATAAGAACTGTTTTTCTCACGGTTATACCCAAAGGTGACCAAGCTGCCAACCTCTTCCTTGTAATATTGGAAAGACAGGAAAAATGAAACATCCACTACAGGAATGAA